CTCTTTCTCTTTCTCTTTCTCTTTCTCTTTCTCTTTCTCTTTCTCTTTCTCTTTCTCTTTCTCTTTCTCTTTCTCTTTCTCTCTCTCTCTCTCTCTCGCTCTCACCATTCCTTCTGTTGTACAAGTGTTTAACACCACTACAAGTATACTCTGTGGATCTCCTTGCCACTGGCTCAACCACCCAGATCGAAACAAATGTCCCACCACGAAATGGTTGATACTGTTCCCACACACTCCAACCACATATATTTGCCTACATTGGGTATATATAGTCTCTAAATGTCTCTAACATGGAGTGGTTGATACTGTTTGCAAAACCTGTCTATTCCAGGAGCTGACAGATCCATTGCCAATGCCCGTGGCGACCTTCCATTGATGTTAGCAAATGCTCAGGGGCACAGAGCAATCGTCAGTGAGCTTGAGGGTTTTCAACAGCGTGACAAGGATCAGCCTTGAGCCACGTCAAAAGAAAAGACTGTGTCACTGTGGCCCCATGGATTGTAGGTTTCTCACTTTATTATCTATTCAGCACCCAGTGCAAGTCTTCTTCATTTTGACATGGCCCACCGGTTAGTTGATTGAAGAAATCCACTTTTCATCACTTTTCTATTCTTCTGCTTCCTGAAGCTAGGGCCAGGGAAGCTCTTCGGGAAGTGGTTGTTTCACCAGGGCTGAATGGACTTAGTTTTTACCAGCCGTCGAGCTGGGTGTGTCACCGTCCCTGGCGTCAAACCTTGTGAAACGCCTGTGAGGTGGGTGATGGCGTCCGCCGAGACCAGTTCTGGCATTGACTCCTTTGCGAGTGAAGTGATTTAGTTGGTATGTCACCTGCGGTTTGTACCAGGACACGTCAGGACACCCAGTATACGCGGGGTAGGTAAATGGACACCCCCTGGTAGGTGCAGCAAATATATCATCAAGACTACTTCTAGACCCCATGATAACAACCCTTTGGATGCTTTTGTTGGGTTACTCGCAGAGGTGAGGTCTTTGGAAGTTCGACCACTAGTTGTTCTCCTTCAGATTTGTACTGCAAGTCACTCAGTCGCAGCATCGCAGACAGCGAGTCGCGGCATCATGTGATGTTTTCGAGCCAGAGTCCAGCGGGACGTTCGACAGAAAAAAAACACACAGTGTTCTGCGTTCCAGGGAGTGGTGGGTGCCAAGTGGCGGGAGGGTGCCGATCCGGGTGCCCATGAAACACATTGAAACACATTCACATCCATGCCCCAAACAAACAGAATCGGACAAAACTCGAACGCCTTAACCGTGTGAACTGCTTCAGCAGGACCAGGGGGGAGCCGGGCCAGCACCGGCAGAGGTTCACGCGGTTGAAAACAAAGTGTGCGTGTGATTTGGTCAGAGGTCTTCAGAGGCCCCGGCAGGCCCTCTCAGTTCCATGATCCATGTGTTTTCCTCCGAGAGGGAGGTCTGAAGGTCTTTGTTTTCTGGTTTGGGTCTAAAATGGTCTAAAACTTGAGACAAAGCTTCCTTCCTTTTGAAAACCGAGAAGGCAGAGCAAACCAAGTGATATTGGTTTCTGATGGGTAATTCGCTTTATTCCAGGTCTGTGAGAGGCAGATCAAAGGGCGGGGCAGCGGGTCTGGTATGACAGTGGTTCATTTGATACTGCCTCTCCAAGTTTGAGTGGCTCCAGTCTAACCAAAACGCGTGCGACGTTCAAAGACTTGGGAGGTCCCAAGCATGGGTGACTCGACAAGTAGCTGGAGTCGACCCGGAACGGATGTAGACCTATTTTGAGATCGTGTCCCATTTTCCAGGATACGACGTCGGGTCCAGGTACAGTGGTTTCGGAGATTTTCAGATGGTGCAGACCTCAAGATGTCCTTTACATGGGGGTTCACCTCTTGGGGTCGAGTCTCAATCATATATACCAGGACCTTCCAAGTCCGGTAGTTTTGGGACACCTCGACTCACCTCCAAGAGGCTAGAGAACAGACACCGATGCCACCGGAGGGTCCTAATATATACCTGGACCGTCCGGTACAAACTGGACCGTCCGATCTCTGACCCCCTCCAACTCACCTGACCACTCGTGGCCCTCCAGGTCCTCAACACCCCCCCAGCAGCCAGGCAGTCTGAAGTCCTTCATTATGTTCCCCCCATGCTACGGTCCCATCACGTGTTCATAAGACTAGTGCGGTTGCAGTGCAAAGTCCACGAAATTAACATGCACTTCGATGTGTATCCGAGTGGCCCCTCTTCAGAGATGTGCTGCTGCGCCTTCAGGCTTAGAAAGGACTCAACCCGTTTGCCTTGGTTTGGGACCCTCACAAGTATAAGGTGGTTGGAACCTTTCACCCACACAGACATGTAACGAGCTGTTGGTTCGGGTCATTCGGGTCGTTTTTGGGGAATGAATCAAACTCTCCAAAGGGGGGTATACATACGTTGGGTCTGTCCGTTCTTACCTGTAACAGGACCTGGTTTCACAAGCAGATGTACTACTTTTGGACAAGGCCTACAGCCATCCACTGAAACCAGGTACTGTAATAGGATAGACCCAAGACATAAACGGCAGTTGTACCTGTTGTTCTTTGTTCTGGTCATGCCCCAACGACCTTCCACGTGACATGACCCGAACCAAAAACCACCAGTACAACTGTCCCTAGGGATCCAGTCGTACCGAATCTCAGGAGGTGATTGGACCCGACAATGGCACCTACAAAGCGGTGTCGAACACATCACTGTACCTGAGGTTCGGTACGACTGGATCCCTAGGGACTGTATACCCCTTTTCAAAGGTACATGTCCGGGTCGACTGCCATCTTCAACCCCTTCGCAGCGCTCTCTGCCAGGTGGCCTGGGAGTTCAACGGTCGGCTACAGCCGCTGATCGGCGCCGCAAACCGCACGGGTGGGGAGCTCGAACCGCACGGATGGAGCACGGTTATAACCCATCCAACCCATCGGCTCGTGGCAGTACCCAACTTGTTCCTGAAAAAACACCACGACATGGAACTGCTATGAACTGCTGGTCTTGTAGTGATTTGCTTCTTGGACTGTTAATCTAGAACTTTTGGAGCTACCATTCAGCTGTCAGTTGCTGCAAGTCTGTGCACCAGGGTAGTATGTGTGTGGCCTCTCCTGCTTTTTTCCTTCTAGGCGATCCAGAGGATGTCTGGTAACGCGGTGGACCTGGCGACCTGGCGACCTGCGGCGGGGGCGGAGCGACAGTGAGCGTGCGGAGCGTGGATCCTTGGTGCACAGAGTAGTCAACCCTAGGCTTCCAACAGATTGAATAGCCTGAATCCCGCAGACGCGTTGTTCTTGTTTCATTTAGTACTCTGGATTCTACACTACAGGTCTTGGAAGCCTAAGGCAAGAGTTCATTGACCCAGAAACGTCAATCGGCCTTTCTTCCGAGGTTCTTCCTCGCCTGGCAAATCATGCTCCGATTCAAGCACTTTCTCAGAAGGTACTAGGACCCTCCAAACCTACTTGTACATAACAGTGTGTCCAATCACCTTCTGAGAAGGTATACTTGGACCCCGTGGGGGGGTATGGATCCACATATCTCTGATACCATCCAGGGCTCGTGGATGTGACAGGGGCACCCAACTGCTTCCTCCTATATGGACAGTACCCTGTCCTCCATGGAACGGCTATAGTACTTACTTATTTGTGTTTACCTCCCTTTTGGTATACTCTTACCACCCAAATCATAGCCTCTTTGGTTCTTGAAGGGATTCACTATATATACTGAAGACCTAGTTTGGTTAAAGCATTTTTTTCAGCAAACTTGGTGAAACCAGTTAGCAGAGGATCTAAGGACAGGCAAGTGATTATATTATACACGTGCAAGTCTCCAGACTTTTTGGGAATAGATCACAAGTGACAGGCGGTCACAGGTGACAGGTGGCCACGGTTACAGTCAGTCCACGAAAAAACGGGGGCGGAGTCTGGACCCGTACGTGTCGACCTCTCACAGTGCATCCATGAAATGGTTACGATCATGATCGATCATGTAGCAGCAGCAATCGTGTTAGATGGCCACAGTTTTGTACCATTGGATTGACCCGGTGATATATAGCTTCCATACCCAGACACGACCTGTCTGGGACTTTCATACGAGAAAACCTCGAATCCGCGACAGCGTCGAATCAGCGACCAGCGAGACCCCAGGATCAGCGACCACGGATCCCGGATCAGCGACCAGCGAGACCCCGTTGAATCCGCGACCAGGTTAAGGCTGCATTGGTTCGCCTCTGGATGGGACTACGACCGGGTATGTTTACACACGGCTCATCACCGAGTTAGCGTTGAGGTCCTGTGTGATGCTGCTCACTGTCATCGTGTGGCATCACCTGGTAAGATCCGAATCTGCGGGGCGCCCTCGCTTGGACCGGTCGAGCCTGACCTCTATCTGCTGCAGGGTTGGGGACCGAGGCGGACCAGCTCATGGGCGTCCGACCGCGAAGTCTGAATGATGCAGAGGCCATGCAGTCCTTCTTCTTCGCCTTCCAGAAGGTCGCGCTCCATTGCGTCGCGGGCGAGCTTTGTCAATAAGGTTTAAAGGGAATATATGCCTCTTATCCAACTGGGGTGCAGACGTCTCCTGCTTCGCTCATCCGGGCAGGTGCAGGGTAAGCGCTTGAACTTGGCGACGTACCGCAAGTGTCCCGACAAAGTCCTGAAGGAGACATGTCAGCTTCAAGTCATTCACTGGGATTAACTTGCTGTTTGCAGCAGTGGGTAGGCTCCAAACATTGCAGTTGGAGTGCACACCAACAAGAAGGAGCTGTGTACATCAGCAGCGGTGCTGTATGTGAGCAAGAGGTCCTGGCAACTCATTCGGTGTCTAAACTTTCCCATCGTCGAACTACAACTTTGTGAACTGTGGTGCTGGGCTATCAATGCACTAGTTGATGTGAGTCGAACTTTTTTCCGCCAGATACGCACGATAGTGGATAACCTGCATGTACTGATGAGTTGGAGTGGTTTGAGGGAGTGTCTATGTAGGTACATCTTCCAGTCCCACGGATCCTTTGGGGTTGGTGGGGGGGAACATATAACAATCAGCTATTATATATATATATATATGGGTGGAGTTGTTTGAGGGGTGGTACCTATCTCCAGTCCCACAAAATCCTCTGGGAGATTCTTGATTGTCTGGTCCGGCAGCCGGTCGTCCCGCCACTGAGGGTGCATTTGGACTTCCCAAAAGAGGCGGGCGATCTAGAGGCTGGCGAGACCGATGCCAGACGTCGATGCCCGAAAAGCAACACATACCAGCACCCTCCAACAGGTCACGAATTAAGACCCGTTAGGGCCAAACAACCCTCCAGAGGAGACCTGTTGGAGGGTGCTGATAGGGTTTGGTTCTCCCATTCGGAATCTGAGCGCAGAAAACCATCTCTCTCCGCGGAAAGCCACCGGACACCTTCCGTCACTTCGATGTTGTTTGTCAAAAACAAGGAGCGTCACGGGGTGCTTCCCCCTGCTACAGGAAACCATATACAGAACTAAAGG